TGACTTTGCTCGAGTTAAGCCCCTATTTTCTAGAGGGCTTAACTCGAAGTACCTAACTCCAGTTATGTACTTCGAGTTAAGCCCTCAACGGAAATGGGCGTGATATGGGCGTGGTAGGGGCTTAACTCGAAAGGGCGTGGTCGGAGCTTAACTCGAAGGGCTTAACTCGAGGGGCTTAACTCGAAGATTTGCTACCCCATGTCCGACCTGTATAGAATCACTCACTGTGGATACATTAACGCAAGCACCACGGGGCATAAGAAACATACTAGCCGAATTGAGAATTCACTGTAAATTCTTCGATCGTGGTTGTGGAAAATTTATTGAGTTGGGAGATCTTGAAAGGCATGTCAGTAGCTGCGGGTTTGCTCCAGCAGTCTGCTCTAACGAAGGATGTCAACTTGAGCTGAATAAACAAGATGTAATTCTCCATGAAACGGCTGTGTGTGAACTACGCCGAGTTCAATGTCATGGCTGCAACGAATTGAGTCAAGAGATGGTTAAAGTGAAAGTTAATTTAACGGCAATGAATGAAAAATTGAACAGGAATGAGAAACAGTTGCAAAGAAACGAATTGAGTTTGAAAGATGTGAAAGCCGTGGAACAGAATTTGGTTGCGAAAGTTGAACTGGTCCAAGAACAACTTAACAAGCAGGAAGTCAATAATCGTCATATTCAAGGAGACATTGTGGGAATGAAGAAAAGTTTAAATGAAATTACCAAGCAACTAGAAAGATTCACTCAACAAACATTGCATGAAGTTCAGGCTGAACAGGAAGAAATGAAGAAAGGGATTGCAGAAGCTGATGAAGTGGACACAGAGCCGAAGGTTGTTATTGCGGGAGGTCGGAATAGAAACGGAAGATTAAATTCGGTAGAAATGTTCAATTTATCAACTCGTACATGGACACCACTACAGCCAATGAGAGAATGTCGCTGTGGAGCATCGTCAGTTGTTTACAACAATATGGTTGTTGTTACGGGTGGTTTGGGTGACACTCGTACAACCGAGTCCATGGAAAGATTACCAACGAATGCTCAAACTGACCAGTCCATATCTTGGGAGAAGCTTCTTGCTCAGTTACCTGGACGGTTGCATGGCCATTGCAGTGTAGTTTATAATGGACGGTTGATAGTGATTGGAGGCCGTGATGGAGATAAAGGTGGATGTTCTGATAGTATTGCTGAGATTTCTCTTGTTCCACCTTTTACCACTAAGCTGCTGGCTACTATGCCACAGAGAAGATGTGGCCATGGTGTTGCAGTGTTTGGTGATAAGATCGTGATTGTAGGAGGGAGAGACCACCCCTTGTCTAGAGAAGGTCTCAGAAGCGTGATTATGTATGACATCACTAAAAATGAATGTAAGAAGTTAGCTCCCATCCCTTACCCTGTGAGTGACATGGCCACAGTCAAGTGGGGTGATGACAATGTTATTATGATAAGCGGTGCTGGCCGTGACTATGAATCGTTAAGCAAAGTCTTAATATACAACGTCAACACCCAGAAGAGTCACTTCTTACCTAAAATGAAGTGTAAGGATAGGAAAGGATGTGTGGCTGCTGTTGTCAGGAACACTGTGATTGTCATGGGAGGCAAAGATGAAAGAGGAACTTGCTTAAAGTCAGTAGAAAGTTTTAGATTTGATCGTTATAGCTGGGATGAACTTCCAGATATGCATGAAGCAAGATGCTGGGCTACTGCACTTGCATTCTAATCAATCATGTAAGTATTGTATCATACTGTACAAAAATAATCAAATAACTCCCTCCCTTTTAGTGGAAGAAATGTATTCAGCCTCTCTCTTTTAACCTCCCCCCATCTCTCAAGCCCCCCTCCCTCCATAATTCATTTTCACTTTATTGAGTGACAAATTTTATTGAGTGAAAAATTCTTTATTGAGTGAAAAATTCTTCTATGTTAGTTTTAGGTTACCATTTCGTTCGTGTAATCATATTTTTGTATTTTCATTCACAATAATGGCAAATTATGTTTGTTGAAACAAGCGAAATGTTGAGTATTTACTTTCTAGTTTGAATCCTAAGCAGTCCATCTTCGAATAAACTTAATCTCATTAAAATAATCTTAATACAATTACTTAGTAATCTTTTAAGATTAAAATCATGATTGATGAAGAAATTAGTCAATCATATTCCTTTATCTTGCTCACATGGTGATATTGGATAGTACCTGATGAAGAATATTGATTCAGTTTTAGGACTGGGATTTAATTCACTTTAAGTATTGATTTATGAGTATGAGATGCCATTTCAAAACCTCAAGTGGGGAATGGCGAAATTTCAAGTCCTCTCAGTTAGCTCTACAGGGTGTATAAAAAAAAGGAGTCGTCCTAACTATCCTTATTTCTATCGTAAAATAAAGTACCATAGTTTCGTTTTGTGCTCAATTTAAAGCTTGTTTTTTCATCTTTCGAATGAAGGGTTTCTTGAAAATTTTGAACTAAAGCTAATCGCAATTAAAAGAATTTAGTACAAGCGCTCGTTTTTAGATGCTTCGAAATATTAATCTTCGAAGGTAGTTTGCTAAAATTTAGAACGTTGTTGTTTAAAACTTTACAATCACCATTTATAATGTCAAAGCTAAGAACATTCATTGTTGAAAAGTATTTCGAAACAAAAAGCGTTGACGTTGTGGCAGTGTTAAGACAATTTCAAATAGCTTTTCCAGGACGTAATCTTCATCGAGCGTTTGGCGTCATGTCAACAATTGACACAGCTCGGCAGCAATAACTCCAAATTTTATAAAATAAAGTCTTGATAGAAACTTTTTTATTTCTACAGAAAAAATCAAATAGTTATTGATCAATAACTGAAATGCGAAAAATATCGCCTTTCCCGTTTAAAAATCGCCGGTAGATGTTGTGAAAATGCGGCCGCTATTTTGAACCCTGTTAAAAACCGAAATGCATTAATGTGCATTAAAAAGGTTTTAAAATATGCATTTAAAAACGGAGAAATGATCTATGTTAAAAGACGTTAATCAAACAATTTAGGAGCATGTAGTTCTTCGTCCATAGTGACTGGAGCGACGTTCACCAAACGATAGTGTAACAGGCCATCAAGCCAGGCAAAGACCTAAAGTAACGTAAATATAATAGATTAAATATATTATTACAAAATTATTTCGAAATGGTAAAAAAATATCTGTTTTTTTTTTTACAAAAGCATGAACTGATTACAACTTTCCCATAGTCAGTATTAGAACTCTGTTGAACTACTGAAATACCTGATGAAACGTTGGTCTTCTACTGGCTATCTAATTAGTACAGTCACTGATCACCAATTTAACATTTTTCTTTCCTTCTAACTTCGAGATCACCTTGTAATGCACACTCTTCCCAATCACAGCTAGTTTTTCTAAACTGAACACCTGCCGCGATCGTTTTAATACAAGACATTCCCACATCAAAATGCCAAAACTGAATACATCTCCAAATTTATCAGCTGGGAAGCCAAGGATCTGCTCAGGTGCCATCCAGTTATGTAAGAGAGTGCAGTGACTAAGTGAGACTGGATCTCCACTTTCTCGCAATGAATATTCGAAGTTACAGATCTATCATGCATAGGAATAAGACGCACATTAGCATGACGACGATTTAGGATTGAGCAACTTGCTACATACGTATGGTTATTATCCCAGGCGAGCACAATTATAGGGAAATGAGTAAATGAGGATCAAAAAGATGTAATTTGTGATTAGAGAAAAACTGTTAGAGGGTTAAAGCATTTTGAAACAAAGTCATTTTGGTGCAACTAACTATTCATAACAGTATAAAACCGAGAAAAACATGTCTGGATTGTCTATGAACTAAGCCATATCGTCGCTGAAATAGAGATATGCTGTTTTGACAAATTTTCATGCACCTGCATGCAATGACTAAAAAAACGTGCCAAAATTTTCATTTACACTCTCCATGCGCTACGCTAACACGATTTCTGAAAGCACTTATTACGTAGGAATTTGTACAAATAGATACGATATTGTGCGCACGTTTACAGTCTGCGGTCTGTCGGGCCGATTTTTGATATACTATAGAATGATATGAAAAAGCGGTATCCATCATCTGAGAAGGTCACTAACTAACAATATTCCTTAATCTCAAACTCATTAATAATTCATGAGTAAATTAGCCAACCATATATATATGGCATAGTATACAAATAATGAATGTTTATGAGTGCAATGGTAAGAATATTTTCATGAGGTGAAAGATGGAATGTTCCATTCAACGAGGCGACAGCCGAGTTGAATGGAACATTCCATCTTTCACCGAATGAAAATATTCTTACCATTGCACGAAGAAACATTCATTATTTGTTTTATATAATACCAAAATAGACTAATAGATTCGTATGAGAAGCATTTTGAGGGATGCGATTTATCGAAAACACAAAGAGTGCAATTGTACTATACGTTTTATTCCATTGCACTCGCGGAGAGTGCAATGGAACGCGTTCCATTGCACTCTTGGGAAATGGAATTTTCTATTCAATATCACGTGACCATAAACAGCCAATTAAACGATTAGAATTTAATAAGGTATTATATAATACAAAACATGGACTGGACTGGACTGGACTGGACAGTTGGACTGGACTGGACAGTTGGACTGGACTGGACAGTTGGACTGGACTGATTTTTACATTTTCACTATTCTTGACATGCATGTCACCCGCCATGTCAGGTGGCATGGCACAAAAGAATATTTTATCACAGAATAAATATACCATATCAAGTATTTTGTGATTTTATTAATAATGAACATTGTCCGGTGTGTACCAGGAGGAGATTGGTTGCAAGTCAAGAATATAACGTTTTATACCTGAATTACTTTTGATTTTCGGAAATTGAAATACTTTACCTTCGCCGATGACCTCACTTTATAACTGGAGTGAAATCTCTTAAAGCGAAAGAAACCCCAGCAAGTAGAATAGAATACAATACCAAATATAAACTACTTATCTGTCTTTGCTATGGGTAGCCTGCTCGCATACGTATGAAATTTCTATATTTCAGTCTGCATGGCCATGGGCATAGAAAAATCGATAATTGGGGGGGGGGGG